CCCCGTGGGCCCCTCCGCCACAAGTGCGGCCTTGCCTATCAGAATAGCCCCTTGTCTGGGCTCCTGTGGTCACAGCTGCGTCTCTAGCGAGCCCTGTGCTCAGCCGCTGCTATCACCATGGCCTAGTGGAATTTGCAGCCCTAGCCCCGCCCACGGCCCTGGCCCCGCCCCCAAGTCCCCTAGTTTGCCTGGCTCCGCCCTCTGCCCTGGTCACGTCCCATCGTGGCCGCAGCCCTGGCCCCTGCCTTCAGTGCCCCAGTCTGCCCTAGCTCCCACTCTGCCCTGACCATGCTCACGACGTGGCTCCCCCTGCTCCCTCAGATCCCCAGATCTACCCAGCTCCGCCCCGTCAGCACACCCCAACACAGCCTGCAGTCCGGCCACGCCCACAGCCCCGACCACGCCCTCAACTCCCCAGACCTGCCCTAGCTCCACCCACAGCCCACGCCCACGACCCTGGCCACGCCCCCAATCCCTCAGACGTGCCCTAGCTCCACCCACAGCCCACGCCCACGACCCTGGCGACGCCCCAATCCCTCAGACCTGCCCTAGCTCCACCCACAGCCCTTGCCACTCCTACGACCCTGGCCATACTCTCAATCCCTCAGATCTGCCCTAGCTCCACCCACAGTCCTTACCTCCTCTCATCACAACCCTGGCCACGCCCATGATCCTGGCCACGCCCTCAACCCCCCCATCTGCCCTAGCCCCACCCACAGCCCTGACCACGCCCAGTCACAGCCCAGGCCCCGTCCATGGTCTTGGCACCGCAGCGGCCACCGCATCTCCCCCTCTTCCCCTCGGCGTCCAGGGCGAGTGTCGGAACTTCGTGAAGGTGCTGCTACTCCGGGACGAGTCCACGCTCTTCGTGTGCGGCTCCAACGCCTTCAACCCGGTGTGCGCCAACTACAGCGTGAGTGCGCCCGGTCCAGCCTCCAGGCCTTTGCGCCCTGCCCTCGGGGGCCGCGGCGGCTCCCTGGGCCACCTCACCTCCTACGGGAAGCCTTACTGGATATGCCCGCCCTGCTCCCTTTCCTGGAGCTCAGCGGGGGTCAGTAGTTTCCAGGGGAGGCAGGGTCCCGTAAGTTCCACCTAAGCTAGCAGGACCACCTGAAATCGTCCCTCAGCCCGGTTTCCAGTCGGGGAGCCCGGCTGTCAGGAAGGTCAGGAGATCTGTCACCGAGCCGCGTCCTCTCTGCAGATAGACACGCTGCAGCCCGTCGGGGACAACATTAGTGGGATGGCCCGCTGCCCGTATGACCCCAAACACGCCAACGTCGCCCTCTTCTCTGGTGAGTTCCCCCAGTCCAGCCCTGGGCCGCCTGGCGCTTCCTCCTCTGGGAGTCCGTGTCGCTTAAAAGGTAGCTGAGGGACAAGCAGATGGCGCCACGGTTACAGTGCTGGCTGCCCACCTAGTCGACCGCGGTTCGAGTCCCAGACCTGGAAGCTTAAAACTCACTCTGGGCGTGTGTGCGTGCCCCAGGTCCCAGAGACTGGAGAAGGGATTGCAGTGTGGCCATCCCCCACCCCATGGGTGATTTCTCTCTGTCTCTTTGTCTCTGTCTCTTTGTCAAATGCATTCACACTATAGCAAAAATCTCTCAAAAAGAGAGTAAAAATAAATTAATGCTAGAAAGGCAGCGGGGTGGGGTCTGCCTGGTGTGGTGGTGATGACGAAGTGCACAGTTCAAGTCCTGGACACGGTGCTCAGAAAACATTGTGGGCGCATGTGTGTGCATGCCCCAAATCCCAAGAGAATGGGGAAGGGATTGAGGCATGGCCACCCCATCCCATGCCCGGGAGTCATTTCTCGCTTTCCCTCTCGGGTGAGCACACGCACCCTATGGCAAAAAGTGTAAAAAATATATAAGGCTGGGCGGCCGTGGGTCCCGGTGTGGAGCCAGGCAGCCCAAGCTGGGGCTCGGCTGGGGTCGGCGCTCAGCTGGGGTCTGGGCCAGGACGAGGCAGGGGCAAGGCCCAGCAGGAGGCAGGGCCCAGCCCGAGCTCGGCTCCACCCCCAGCCCTGGCCTCCCTGTCTCCCTGTGGCCTGCCCTCCCCGCCCGCCCCGTGCAGACGGGATGCTGTTCACCGCCACCGTCACTGACTTCCTGGCCATCGACGCCGTCATCTACCGCAGCCTCGGGGACCGGCCCACCCTGCGCACCGTCAAACACGACTCCAAGTGGTTCAAAGGTGAGCCTGGGGGGCGGTGCCAACTGCGGTTCCTCGCAGGCCTGGCGCACACTGGGCATGTGCGTGCCCACCATCGGGCGGCTGAGGCAGGTGGAGCGCGTCGTCTGGACGGTGTCGGGGGTGCGCGCTCCTTCCCTCGCTCTCTCTTGCTCATGGAAGAAATAAAAGAATATGCGTTAGAAAAAAAAAAAGAAGAAGAAAAGAAAAGAGGAGGGCAGTGCCTGGCAGGGCAACCATCCATCAAATCCCCCTACCAGAATAAGAGTCCCAGAGGAGCTAGCAAAGGGGCTGCCACGTCCCCACGTCACTGCTGGATCTGGCGTCTCTGAGAGCGAGAGCTGAAAGGTGGTTTCTGTCGACTCTGAACTGGAGTCTGCCGGAAGTGGGTTGCTCGAAGGCTCAAAATGGCACTCTGAGGGGTGACAGCAGATCAGCTGCGCCGCGGGAGGGAGCAGGGTGACAGGAGGAGACATTGCTGTCTGGGGGCGGGCAGATGCGGAGCGTAAGCCTCTAGCCTCCTCCATTCCCCTCCAAACCCTAAACGTCGAGGCGGTTTCGTTGTCCCTGCTCACCGGCTCAGGTGCCCTCTTCACCATAAAAGCGTCCACCAGGTGCCATGTCAGAGGCTGGACCCCGACCCCTCCTCTCCCACAGAGCCCTATTTTGTCCACGCGGTGGAGTGGGGCAGCCACATCTACTTCTTCTTCCGGGAGATCGCAATGGAGTTTAACTACCTGGAGAAGGTGAGGCCCTGTTCTCCCTGCCCTCCCCAGGCCTGCGCTGTGGGGCAGGAGGCGGAGGGCTCTGATGGACCGCGGGCCAGGGGGCGAGGTGGATCTGACCCAGGAATGGCCTTGAGCCTGGGGCAGGAGGGCCCTCCCCACCCCGGGGACCAGCCCCTGAGGCTGACCGTGTCCAGGAGAGCCTTGGTGCACACGGCCCCGGAAGACAGTCAGACGCACCGTGCTGTGCCGCCCCGTCCACACGCCCGCTTCCCCTTTGCCGTCCTTCATCCTACCCCACCTGCCTGCTCGCCCTCCCACCCACACGCCTGTCAGGTCTTCAGCCCACCCACTTTCTCACCCACCCACCCATCTATCCACCTACCTACTCATCCCACCCACCCATCCATCCACCCACCATCCTCCCATCCATTCACCCACCCATCCGTCTACCTGCCCATCCACCACCATCCACCCACCATCCATCCATCCATCATCCACCCACCATCCATCCATCCATCCATACACCCAACCACCATCCACCCACCATCCATCCATCCATCCCTCCACCCACCCACCATCCATCCATCCATCCATCCACCCACCATCCATCCACCATCCATCCATCCACCCACCATCCATCCACCCACCATCCATCCACAATCCACCCACCACCATCCACCCACCATCCATCCATCCATCCATCCCTCCACCCACCCCCCATCCATTCAC